GATACAGAAAAAAGAAAGAGAGGAAGGAAGGAAGGAAAGAGGAAGGAAGGATAGAAAGAGAAAGAAAGTGATAGGTAGAAAGGAAGAAAGATGGAAAGAAGGAAGGAATGAAAAGAGGAAGAATGGAAAGAAACAAACAGAATAAAAGAAAGAGGGAAAGGAAGGAAGAAAAGGAGAAGGATAGAAAGAGAAAGAAAGTGGTAGGAAAGAAGGAAGGAAGGAAGGGGAAAGAAGAAAGAGAAGAAGAAGGATAGAGAGGACAGGCAGAAAGACAAAAAGTGGTGGTACCATCCCACCTGAGCCCCCTTTTTTGGCCAGATTTGGCCCCGATCTTGATGGGAGGGGGAGGGAGGAGAGTGACGAGCAAGAGCGACACTCAACCCCCGAATAATCAGATTTTTCCGGCCTGCGGAGGGTCTGTGTATTTATAGGAATATGTTCCCTTGCGGGGTTTCTCATTCGAATGTGTGAATTGAGTGTTGACAGGAGAGGTGGGCGGTAAGGTTGGAAGGGGCCCCAAGGGTCATCTAGCCCAACCCCGCAATACTTTGTCACTGTGTTCAGCTCAGGGTGACTTGATTAGCACTAGATGGCCTTGCAGCTTCAAAGCCTGGCTGCTTCCTGTTTGGCGGAATCCTTTGTTGGCAGGTGTTAGCTGGTCCTGATTGTTTGCAGTGCCTTTCGTGTTCCTTGAGTCGTGTTTTGTCGCCGCGAACAACACTCAGCAAACTGGGGAATTCCAGACAGAAAACAATCAGGGCCAGCTAACATCTAACAAAGGATTCTCCCCAGGCAGCAACCAGCCACGCTTTGAAGCTGCAAGGCCATTCAATGCTAATGAGGCTGGCCAATTGCAACCTTCACGCTTGCCTCCAACAGACAAGAGTTCTTTCTCCCACCCTGGACATTATTTTAGTTTTCAACAGACCTCACAACCTCTGAGGATGCCTGCCATAGATGTGGGTAAAATGTCAGGAGAGAATGCTTCTGGACAGGCTGGAAAACTCACAGCAACCAAGGATGTTTGTTTGTTTCTTTGTACCACAAGGGTTGTTGCTAGGTGAAGTGGCCCTCTGTGATGTCACTGGGAAAGGAAGGAAAGACACAGGGAGGGAGGAAAGTAAGGGGCACGGAAGGAAACGAGAGGGAAGAAAGAAAGAGGAAGGAGGGAAGGAAGGAAAGAAAGAGGGAGAAAAAGTATGGGAGGAAGAATGAGAAAGGAAAGGGGGAAAGTTATGCGGGAAGGAAAGAAGGAAAAAACGCTGAAAAAAATGGGGGAAGAAAGCAAAAAAGTGAACGAAGGAAGGGAAGGAAAAGAAGGGAAGAGGAAGGAAGGAAGAGAAAGGGAAAAAAGAAAGAGGAGGCAAGGTCTATGACGGAAAGCAAGGGAAGGAAGGAACGAAGGAAGGAAGGAAGGAAGGAAGGAAGGAAGGAAGGAAGGAAGGAAGGAAGGAAGGAAGGAAGGAAGGAACTAATGAAGGAAAGAAGGAACTAAGGAAGGAAGCAACTAAGGAAGGAGTAAACTAAGGAAGGAAAGAAGAAAGGGAGAAAGGAACAAACTAAGGAAAGAAGGAATTAAATAAGTAAGGAAGGAACTAAGGAAGGAGGGAACTAAGGAAGGAAAGAAGGAACTAAGGAAGGAAAAAAGAAAGGAAGGAAGGAACAAACTAAGGAAAGAAGGAAGTAAGGAGGGAAGGAATTAAGGAAGGAGGGAAGGAAGGAACTAGGGAAGGAACAAACTAAGGAAGGAACAAACTAAGGAAGGAACTAAGGAAGGAAAGGAAGGAAGGAACAATCTAAGGAAAAGGAAGTAAGGAAGGAACTAAGGAAGGAGGGAACGAAGGAAGGAGGAACTAACTGAAGAAAAGAAGGAACTAAGGAAGGAACAAACTAAGGAAAGAAGTAAGTAAGGAGGGAAGGAACTAAGGAAGGAGGGACGAAGGAAGGAAAGAAGGAACTAAGGAAGGAAGGAACAAAGGAAGGAGAGAACTAACGAAGGAAGGAACTAAGGAAGAAAGGAAGGAAGGAACAAAGGAAAGAAGGAGGGAAGGAACTAAGGAAGGAACAAACTAAGGAAGGAACTAAGGAAGGAAAGAAGGAAGGAAGGAACAAACTAAGGAAGGAAGGAATAAAGGAAGGAGGGAACTAACGAAGGAGGGATGGAAGGAAGGAACAAAAGAAGGAAAGAGAGGAGAGGGAAAAGGTGTATGAGGGAAAGGGAGGAAGGAAGGATGAGCCACAAAGAGAGGCTTGCCCAAAGAGAGTTGCCTTTTTAGAGCTGGAGAAGGGAGAAAGCAGGCGAGCAGCGATCCCAATGACAACTGGACAACATGATGTACAGACTCTATTTTGAAAAGACAGTCTTGAGCCATAGATGAAGTTTGGAATTAAGTGTCTCTTTCCTCTTCCTCTTCCAGGATGCGCCTTCTTGACCTACTGCGCCCGGGAGTCGGCCCTCAAGGCCCAAAGCGCGCTCCATGAGCAGAAGACGCTGCCAGGGGTGAGTTCTCCTTCTTGCCCAGAGGCTTCCTCCCCATTTCTCTGTGGGACTCGGGTTCAAGAGTCAAGTCACACCCTCTCAGCTTCAGGGACATGGCACGGAAAACACTCAATGGGAGTTGGAGTTGAATGACAAAGTGTGTAGTCAGAAGCGTGGCAAGTTGTCGTTTGTTACTTTTGCGACAAAATACTCCTTTTCTTTCTTCCCTTCTTCCTCCCTTCTTTCAATTCAGCCATGTTTTCTTTCTCCATCCCTCCCTTTCTTCCTCTTCCCTTCCTCCCCTTCTTTCCATCCATCCTTTCGATGATAATAATAATAATAATAATAATACTTCTTTCCATCTTTTCACTCCTTTCCTCCATCCTTCCTTCTTTCCTTCCTTCTATCTATTCATCCATCCTTCCTCCTCCATCCATCCATCCCTTTCTTCTTTCTTTCTTTTCCACCTATTCTTCCTTCCTTCCTTCCTTCCTTCCTCCCTCCCTTCCTTCCTTCTTTCCATCCATCCATCCATCCATCCATCCATCCATCCATCCATCTATAACTTTCCTCCCTTTCCCCCTTCCCTTCTTCCATTCTTCTTTCCTCCATCCATCCATTCCTTTCCTTCTTTGCATCCATCCATCCATCCCTTTCTTCTTTCTTTCTTTTCCACCTATCCTTCCTTCCTTCCTTCCTTCCTTCCTTCCTTCCTTCCTTCCTTCCTTCCTTCCTTCCTTCCTTCCTCCCTCCCTCCCTCCCTTCTTTCCATCCATCCATCCATCCATCCATCTATAACTTTCCTCCCTTTCCCCTTCCCTTCTTCCATTCTTCTTTCCTCCATCCATCCATTCCTTTCCTTCTTTGCATCCATCCACCCGTCCCTTTCTTTCTTCTAACCATCCATACTTCCACCATCCATCCATCCCTTTATCTCTTCCTTTCTTCTTTCCATCCATCCCTTCCTTCCTCCTTCCCTTCCTTCCCTTTTCCCCTTCCCTTTTCTTCTTCTTCTTTCCTTCCTCCTTCCTTCCTCTTCCCTCCCTCCTTTTCTTTCTTCTTTCTCCTTCCTTCCCCCTCCTCTTTTCCTTCCCTTCCTTCTTTTCCTTCTCCTTCCTTGCTTCCTCCATCCATCTCTTCTTTCCACCCATCCTTTCGATGATAATAATAATAATAATAATAATAATAATTATTATTATTATTATTATTATTCTTTCCATCTTTTCACTCCCTTCCTCCCTCCTTCCTTCTTTTCCTTCTCCCCATCCTTCCTTCCTCTGACTCCTCCTTTCTGCCTTCCGCTTCCCTCCTGGGTCTCTTCCTTTCTCCCCACGCAGAACTAGAAAGCCCATAGGGCTGGGAGACGTTGTGTGTCCCCCCCCCCCCCCCCAAACCGGCCTCCTTTGCGACAGTGGGGAGCAGCTGTTCCTCGGCGCTGCGGCCTTTGTCTCTGGGGCAGAGAAGAGAGCGAGAGCCTTTCTTCTCGCCTGCCTTTCTTCCCTCGCCACCTGCCTTGCCTTCCCGGCACTCTAAGCACTATAGAGCTTCTGCTTTTCTGAAAAATACATACAATTTGTGGCATGTTTTAGCGTGTTCGGTGCCGTTTGCAGACATTTCAATGCATTGTGCGCTATGGCACAGGAAAGAAATGGAATGAGGCACAACTATGAGCAAGGGCCTTGGTTGCGACATTGACACAAATCCAACAACAAAAACAACAACAACAACAACAATCCTATATATATCTCTTTCTGTGAGAGAGACTCAACACAACAGTGTTTCTCAAGCTTCCTAATTCCGCAACCACTTAATACAGTTCCTCGTGTTGTGATGACCCCCCCAAACTATAACATTATTTTCGTTGCTGGGATTTATAGTTCACCCACAATCAAAGAGCATTCTGAACTCCACCAGCGATGGAAACTAACCTCAATACTCAATATGCCCAAATATGAACACTGGTGGAGTTTGGGGAAAATAGACCTTGGCGTTTGGGAGTTGTAGTTTCTGAGATTTATAGTTCACCTACAATCTAAGAGCATTCTGAACTCCACCAATGATGGAATCGAATTAAACTTGGGACACAGAACTCCCACGACTAACACAAAATCCTGGAAGGGTTTGGTGGGCATTGACCTTGAGTTTGGGAGTTGTAGTTGCTGGGGTTTATAGTTCACCTACAATCAAAGAGCATTCTGAACCCCACCAATAATGGAATCGAACCAAACTTGGCACACAGAACTCCCACGACTAACACAAAATCCTGGAAAGGTTTGGTGGGCATTGACCTTGAGTTTGGGAGTTGTAGTTCGCCTACATCCAGAGAGCACTGTGCGCTCAAACACTGTGGACCAAACTTGGCACAAATACTCAATGCGCCCAAATGTGGACACTGGTGGAGTTTGAGGGAAATAGACCTTGGCATTTGGGAGTTGTAGTTGTTGGGATTTATAGTTCACCTACAATCAAAGAGCATTCTGAACTCTACCACTGATGGAATCGAACCAAACTTGGCACACAGAACTCCCATGACTCAACAGAAAATCCTGGAAGGGTTTGGTGGGCATTGACCTTGAGTTTGGGAGTTGTAGTTGCTGGGATTTATAGTTCACCTACAATCAAAGAGCATTCTGAACTCCACCAGCGATGGAATCGAACCAAACTTGGCACACAGAACTCCCATGACTCAACAGAAAATCCTGGAAGGGTTTGATGGGCATTGATTTTGAGTTTGAGAGTTGTAGTTCACCTACATCCAGAGAGTGCTATAGACTCAAATAATGATGGATCTGGACCAAACCTGGCACGAATACTCAATATACCCAAATGTGAACACTGGTGTTTGGAGAAAATAGACCTTGGCGTTTGGGAGTTGTAGTTGCTGGGAGTTATAGTTCACCTAAGGAAGTATATGAAAATATGAGACAAGTTTGAAAATGAAGATGCTGGGATAACAACCTGCACTTTAGCCGGGCTTTTCTGCTTTGGGTTGGACTAGATGGCCTCTGGGGACCCCTTCCGGCTTTATGCCACTAGGCGAGCCTTCTGCGCATGCTCAGAGAAGAAGATAATCGGGTTTTCTTCAGTAGAAGCAGGTGTTTCTCTCTTCTGTTTGCGGAAGGTTTTCGTTCCCTGGTTTCCAAGCAGCTGTTTGTTTAAAGCGGAGGCCGAAAAGGAGCCTATTAAACAGTAACAGGTGTTCGGGCCGCAGGTACGAGTCCTGCGAGTTGGATGGGACCCCCAAAGGCCATCTAGACCAACCCCATTCCACAACCAAAGCCCTCCTGACAGATGCCCATCCGAACTCTGTTCCGAAGGGAGAGTCCACCAAGTCTGCCTTCATTCAGCCTCTGGTTGCATCTACACTGTAGAACGGATCCAGGTTGACACTTGTTTACATGCTATGGGACTGTGGGAATTGTAGTTTCCTGAGGTGCCCTTGTACTACAAATCCCACGACTCTATAGCATTGAGTTTGAATAATATAAGTCTTAAAGCGAATTGTATAAAGCGATCAATATATAGATAGATCATGGTCTATTCCCATTGGACACAGACTTATGTCATAAGGTTGTGGGTGAACTACAACTCTCATTATGCTAGGTTGACACCAAGAAACTCCATCAGTACTTAAAAGTTTGTTATGTTGGGCAAGTTTGCTCTCAAAGCATCAATGGTGGGGTTCAGTGTGCTCTATGATTGCAGGGTGAACTACAACTCCCACTATGGTGAGTGAGTCCACTCAAAACCCTCAAGTTGAAGGTGAACTAGAAATCCCATAATGCCAGGGTAACTCCCAAGAAACTCCATCAGTACTTAAAGTTTGTTATGTTGGGTGAGTCTGCTCTCAAAGCATCAGTGGTGGGGTTCAGTGTGCTCTATGACTGCAGGGTGAACTATAACTCCCACTATGGTGAGTCAGACCACTTAAAACCCTTGGGTTGTGGGTGAACTAGAAATCCCATAATGCCGGGTTAACCCCCAAGGAACTCCATCAGTACTTAAAGTTCGTTATGTTGGGTGAGTTTGCTCTCAAAGCATCATGGGTGGGGTTCAGTGTGCTCTATGACTGCAGGGTGAACTACAACTCCCACTATGGTGAGTCAGTCCACTCAAAACCCTCAGGTTGTGGGTGAACTAGAAATCCCATAATGCCAGGTTAACCCCCAAGGAACTCCATCAGTACTTAAAGTTTGTTGGGCGAGTTTGCTCTCGAAGAATCATGGGTGGGGTTCAGTGTGCTCTATGACTTCAGAGTGAACAACAACTCCCACCATGGTGAGTCAGACCCCTCAAAACCCTCGGATTGTGGGTGAACTAGAAATCCCATAATGCCAGGTTAACCCCCAAGGAACTCCATCAGTACTTAAAGTTTGTTATGTTGGGCGAGTTTGCTCTTGAAGCATCAATGGTGGGGTTCAGTGTGCTCTATGACTGCAGGGTGAACTACAACTCCCATCATGGTGAGTCAGTCCACTCAAAACCTTTGAGATGCATCATGGGTAGTGTTCAGTATGCTTAAAGTTTGTTATGTTGGGCAAGCCTGCTCTAGATGCATCCTCAGTGGGGTTCAGTGTGCTCTCTGGCTGTAGGGTAAACTACAACTCCCACTATGGTGGGTCAGTCCACTCAAAACCCTCGAGATGCATCATGGGTGGTGTTCAATGTGCTTGGGCAAGTCTGCTCTAGATGCATCCTCAGTGGGATTCAGTGTACTCCCTGGCTGCAGGGTACACTACAACTCCCACTATGGTGAGTCAATCCCCTCAAACCCCTCCATTAGTTTGAGTTAGTCATGGGAGTTCTGTGGGCCACGTTTGGTCCAGGTCCATCATTGGTGGAGGTCACAGTTTCTCTGGTTGTGGGTGAACTACAACTCCCAGAAAGGAATGTCAATTCTCTGCAAACCCCTCCAGTAAACAAATTTTGTCATATCAGGCATGTGTGTCAAATTTGCTCCAGATCCATCAGTGTTTGGATTCACAGTGCTCCCTTGATGTAGGTGAACTACAACTCCCCCA